TTATATAATTTAATTACATTATTAAGCACATCCTAGAAGCACAAAACTAGTAGGCTAACACCTTTAGCTAAAGGCCTAATTACTTTAATAAAGAAAAAGAAAAGACTAAGAAGTTTACTTTTTTTAAAGAAACTAATAAAAAATAAATTTATAATAAGCTTTAACTTATAAAAGAACTTTACATGCTTATAGTAAATAAGCAGAGATAAAAAAAATCTAATCTAAGAATATTATAAATCTCTAATGTTTAGGCACCTAGGAATAGGCACTCTCTAAAAAAAATTAAGGGCTGCTATACTACAATAAATACTAAAAGTAAAGTAATTATGCACTAAGGTGCTTAAAGAATGCAATACTTATAATAAAAATAACTTATAAAAGTATAAAACCTATAGATACCTTTACCTAATTAAAGCTTTAAAATTACTATAAATAATAATTATAATAGACTTTATTATAAAACTACTCTTATTTAAAAAGCTAGAAATAAAAAGAATGTGCAACATAATTATAGTAGCCTTTAATAAAACTACTAAATATCTACATACTTAGCCCTTAGAAAAAATAATAATAGCTAAAAAGTTTATTTATAAACTTAAATAAAACATTATATTAGTGCATAAATGCTTTAAAATTATTATCTTTAACTAAGATAAACTATTTACTAGCAAATTCTAGAAAGTAGCTATACAACACTTTAGCATAACGCACAAGCTATCTATAGTATACTATCTATAGACAGACAGCTAGACTAAAAGAGTAAATGCTAAAGTAGAAAAATACCTAAGAAAGTACATCTCTTACACTTAAAATAATTAGGTAGAATAGCTCTTTATAGCACAACTAGCTATTAACATAGTAGAATTAGCTATAATAAAAGAAACACTATATAAAGCTAATTTTAAGTATAACTTATACTTTACACTATAAGAAAACTAGCCTATAGACTTTTAAGAATTAATAGACTAGTTATTAAACTTATAAAATATTTATAAAAAATTAGTAATTAAAGCTAGGTCTAGTTAAAAAATAATAGAATAATATATAAATAAATTATAATAGCTAAGCCTAAGAATTAGCTTAAAAGATTATGTGTACTTTAACACTAAAAATCTAAAGGTATTTAGACCTTCTTAGAAGCTAGTAGAAAAAAAAAATAAGACTATATAAAGTTCTATAGACTTAATAAGACAATTGCAAACTTAAGCTTCCTCTATATATAAAGATACACCTATAGTTCTATGTCTCTAGATTAAAAAAAGCACTTAAAAGGATTCTTTTATTTATATAAAAATAAAAAGATAAAGAAATTAAGTATAAAGTTAAACATATTATTAGTAACTAAAAAAATAAAAAAAAGTTTTTAGTAAAATAGAAAAAGTAGCTTACTAGTAAGAATATATAAAAACTAGCTAAGAACTTACAGAACACGTAGCTGCTAGTATAAAGGTACCTTTAAGCTTATTTAAAAAAAACTAGCTAGGTAATAAAGCACCTAATTTAAAAAGAATAGCTATATTATTACTAAATAGCAGCAGCTTTTAGAGACAAGTCTTTACTAATAAAGGCTATAAAAAAGAATAACTTTTTACTTTAGCTTTAAAAGCTTTTATTTTATCTAAAAAGAAAAAGTCCTTTTTTAAATACTTTACATGTTAAGCCTCTAGTAAATCTAGTAATCTTTAGATATAATCTTATTTAAAATACTTCTTAGCTTTTGCCTCTAAAGTTTTCTAGACCTAGCACAACATTTTTTTATTAAGCTTTTACTTATAAACTCTTGCTGTAGTAGCATTTTAAAAAAGCATTTTTCTCTCTTTCTTTAATTAATCTTATATAGTGTTTAAAATAAAAGTATTACACTTACTGTTTTTTTTTACACACTTAACATATTTATCTAAGAATAAAGTTAACACATAAGATAACTTTAATAACTAGTAAGTGCTATAAAGTCTTATTTTTATTTAGTAAAAAGAATTAAAATATAAGGTAGTATAAAAATAACAGAATAAATAAAACTAGTAAGCTATTTAGCTTAAAAAAATAAATATTAAAAATGCTTTTAAGTAAGTAAGTGCTTACTTTATAAATAAACTTTTACTAACATAGTTATGTAAGCAGAGCAGTAAGAACGCTGCTAGAGAGAAGAGGCAGTGTGTTACAGTTTATAGTTAGACTAGTATAACTCTACTAGCAGTGCTTTGCAATCTAGCTAGATTAGAACAAGGCTTGCTTATAGACTAGTTAGAGGACACAAAAGCAGCACTACTCTCTGCAGTAGTAGAGAAGTGTGTTGTTTAGTAAAAAATAGGCTACAAGTCTAGTAAGTCTAAAAGAGCTTATAAAGCTTTTCTTAGCAGGCTTATATAGACTTATCTTGCTTACCTTAGCACCCCTTTATATATATATATATAGTTTCTATGTTTAACAACTTTTAAAAGGTGTGTTTAATATTTAGTTTATTTTTTATATAGACTAAGTAGCATTTAGCTTTTTAAAGAGCTATAATACTATTTATATATCTTACACTATATATACCTCTAACTCTGTCCTATAAGACTGTTTAACCTAGCCTCTCTACTGCTGCATAAAGGGCAAACTATAATCTAGTCACTCTACTCCCCTCTATTAGCCTAGTAGCCTATACGTAGGACTGTACACCCTGCCGTTGGCCCCTACCACCCGTCCTACTTCTCCCCTAGGAATATTATAAGACCTGAGTGCTTCCACGAAGCAAGGATTGTAACACTTAATAACCTAGGAACTCTATTAACACCTATAGGCCTTGTACAGAGGATATTAGAAAACTACTAAGCTAGCTACAGGGGAGAGGTGCGACTAAATACATGAGGGAATAGGGGTAACAGCAGGGGTCGGGGCTAGGTTGAGGTTGGGGCTGATATGGAGGCCTTCTGGGCCATCCTAGATGGAACGATTCATAAGGATTGTTACAATCTGCTGCATAGATATCTAGCACCTAGCCTTAGAGATATCTACTGTTAACTATTTTCTAGTAAAACAACGCAACTATTTAGGCGCTCTAGCTTAAATATATTAGTAACGTAGCTATATAATACTTAACATTGCTCTAATTAATACTAGCATAGTTTAAGCACATAATATTATGTAGAAGATTGCTAGAAAAGTCTGTACCTTTAGGTGTATTAAAGTGTGTATAAATAATTATGTAAGTGCCTAAAAAATATAAAAATATATAAGTAGTCTAATTATCTAATCTCTTTTATTATATAGTTAGGATGCGTTGCGCTGCTTTTTCTTAAAACTATGTATAAACTTAGTAGTTTTTTAGTTGCTCTATACTATTTATAGCTATGTTTTAAAGCTTAGCTTTTTAAAATTTATAGAAATATTTAACTACTAAAGCTAAATATTATTATGTACTTTATAAGTCTTATTAATAACACCTTTATTAAAGAATATTACTTCTAGATAATTTACTTAGCTAAGTTTTTTACATAGTAGGACTTCAATAGCTAGCATTAACAGTAACTAGTCCTCTAAGCTAATAAAGACCCTTAATATAGCAGCACTATAGATAGCAGCTATAGCGCGTAACATATAGCATAATGTAATCTGCTTGCTTATATAGTCCTAAATTATGCTAGGCGCTATACAAATCTAATTAGGCTGTAATGCTATGCTAGGATTAAACATAGACTAGGTTAAACTATTTTTAGAAATCTATAGACATCTTATAATAAGCGCTGTTATTAGGTTCTGCTAGATAGCTGTTGCAACGCTTACAGTGTAGTTATAAGTCTTATTAGTAAAGTTATAATTATTATCTATAATTATTAACTAAAGATTATGTGTAAGACCTAGTAGCTTAGCATTAGATAAGACATAAGCTATATAACATAATATTATAACTTATAAGCTTTTTATATAGTCTACTATTTTATTAACTTTTTAGTTTATAATTTTATATAAGTTATAACTACTAAAGCCTAACAACATCTCTATAACACGCTGTTTTATACTACTACTATATAAATATAAACCTAGTAGGCAGGTAAGATAGTTACATCTCTTCTAGGCCTAGTAATGTAAAATAATAAAAGTAATTAAATACACTTTACTATCTTATAAACTTTTAGCTTTACTATAACTACTCTAAGCACTTTACTTATTTTATAAAAGTTTTTTAATAAACTTGCTTTAATTTAGAGCTTAATTAGCTATAATTAACTTTAACTTAGTAAAATTAACTTTATCTAGCCTAAAAGCTATATTATACTAGTTAAAAAACTTTTACTTAATAAAACTATTAAGTTTTTTTATAAACATAATAAAACTAAAGACACTAGTAGCCTTATTATCTCTACTTAATGCTATATTAACATTTAGCTGTTTTAGTACTAATTAAAAAATTATTCTATATTTACTAGATAGTAGAGCCCTTAATAATAGTAAGTTTTATAAATATACCTTAATAAATTTACTTATTAGCATTAATAGTTTATTTATTAACACTAAGACCTACTCTAATTTCTTTAATTTTAGAGTGTAAATAGGTGTAGACAACTAGACACACTAAGTAGACACACCTACTACTTATAAAGTTATAAAGGGATAAGTTATTAGAACTAAGGCTTAAAGCTTAGTAGTAACTATAAATAAAGGTAAGAAAAACATAAAAGAAAGTAATAATAAAGGTAATAATAAAGAAGGTAGCAGCTTATCTGCTAGAAGAAAATAAAAGAGTTGTAGACGCTAGAGCAGACGCAGGGTAGAACTAGTAGACTTATTAGCTATTTTATATAGTAAACAACATGCAAAACACATAATAATTTAATAAATAATAGTAAAAAGTTATATAGCTATTAGCTTAAAGTTTAGAGATATTTTTAAAAAAAAGAATGTATAAATATTAATATAATGTATCTTTATATAAAAAGTAAGCACTAAAATTAGTTGTTTATATAATTAATTACTAAAGTCTCTTAGACAGCTAGGGAGAGAAGCTAAATCTAGCATCCTTATTGGCTAGAAAGATAGCGTGAGCGCCACTAGCGCGACTAGCATGGGTTTGTGTTGACTAGCAAGGGTATCAGGGGCTCTGCCTCTGTCGGGGCTTCGCCTCTTCTCTCCCCAATCGGCTGAGCTAGCTGAGATAAGCCACGATTCCCACCTGGCATGACGCTATTCCTTAATGAGGATAGCGTATCTGCAATCTATTAAAGTCCCTTATCTTAGCTAGCTTAGACGTGAGGAGAGAACTGAGGACGCACAAACCACCATGCATATTGCTACTCTAAATAGAGTATGGCCTGGGGGTTAGCAGTTTCTAACCTCTGTTAGTAGCGTTTCTCTCCCTAGCTGTCTAAGGGACTTTTGTGAATTTTTCTATAAATAGGCCTATTTTAAAAGCATTATAATAGAATTAGATTTACAATACCTCTACTACTATATGTCTAAATAGGCTTAGAATTTAATAGAATGTAGAGACAAGCTGTAGCTATAAAGTAGTGTATTTTTTTACTAAATTTTTGTAACGGCGCAGGCAAGACAATGGGTCCGAATGCGGTATGAATCCACTCAGAGGCATATGGGAGTGCGTGGGGACTCAGAGACCTGGGAATACCAATGACACCTATAGGCCTTGTACGTAGGTGTCATTGGTA